AAGGCACGGCGGCTTTTGCCGTCGATAAATTCGATCTCTGTAAACACCTGCGGGATTCTGCGGGATTTTGCGGGCGGGGGCGGGAGCGGGAGAAAATAATATACCTATATATTTTTTGCGGGAACGGGCAGGAGCGGGACTGAAAAATCCGTCCCGCGCAGGTCTCTAGTTCGAAGTGTTCGCTCACGCGAGAGACCGTTGGAGAATGCATGAAGTGCACATACGCGAATGTAGTTCGGCGCTCAGTCCAAACCGTGATTACGGCATTAAAAAAAAGATATACTGTACCTCTAAAATATTAATGTTTGCAGAGTGCTACCAGAATTATTTTTTTCAACTTTTAAAAATATCTTATATTGTTATATTTCGACGCGATATCAACATAGTGGCAATGCTGTTCTTGCTTGCTCACAGCAGTCATTGAAATCTCAGTTATGAGACTCCGCATTGTTTGTAACAATCGATCTGGTTTTATTCAGCGGTCTGATAAGGCTTTTTTTTCTCATATGGCGACGCGGTCCCGCAACACTAATATCTGTTATACGTGCGTTATTGAAGGTTGGCGACGTAGGACTGCAAGTGAGATGAGGACCTGCCTTCGGCTCTTACCTAGCAACCCGACCGCGTCAGATTGGTGCTGTTCTCGAACTCGTTTTCCGCCATCTTTCTACGGTCGACGTCACATTCTACGCAGCTTATAAGCACCTGTGCTGCGCGTTCTGGTACACTTAGCTGTAGTAAGTCAAAGAAGCAGAGATGGATACAGTCTGCAAGAACTTGGAGAAAGAACTGACATGCGCCATATGCCTACAACTTTTTGAGGAGCCTCTGGAGTTGCCGTGCATGCACAACTTTTGCCAGGAGTGCATCTGCAGGGCTTGGGATGACAATGTAGGTGCAAAGCGGTGCCCAGAGTGCAACCGCACCTACAATAGGGAGCCATTTGTTGCAGAGAACCTGAAATTAGCCAACATTGTCCAGCGGTTCAAGGACTTGGAAGCCCCGATGCCATTAGTGGCATCAGGCTGTGCAGTGTGTGGCAAACAGGTTCGGAAAGTCTGCCTCCATTGTGCTGAAGGTTGCTGTGCAGCCCACGTTCAGATGCACATTGACCAGGCAGGGCATTTGCTGGTCAATGCGGAAGACATGCAGAGCTGGACCTGCCTTCAGCACGGCAATTATAAATTGTACCACTGTGATGAGGAGAACACAGTGGTGTGCCAGCAGTGCTACTTGGCCAGGTGTGTCCCCAGCCATGGTCAAGCGGTGTGCGACGTGGAGGTCCGTCGCAATGGCATGAGGGTGAGTGGGCTCATTTGGACAGAACTCGTGTTTAGTGCAGTGGGCAGCACCTGGGTGACAGACATGTGAGAGGTGCTGACTGAGCGCCCAACTCTTCTCTTCTAGCAAGCATTCATGGAGCAGCAGGGGAAGATAGAGGAGCGGATGTTAGCCATAAGAGAAACCTTGACAATAGCAGAGGCAAATAAATGGCAGACAGAGGTAGGACAGCTGCCGGTCGGAGCCCAAGGTCCTCTCTGAGCGCTGGGTGGCCGGTGTGCCCAGCTGCTTTGAGGTTTTCGGGATCTCAAAGTGTCATTCAGCTCTCTGAGCATGTGACATATCCCAAACTGCTTGTGTTGCAGAAGAGTTTCCGGACAATCAGGGAAACGGTGGAGCTACGATACCGGAAAATGCAAGAGCTCCTGATGTGGGACATGGACAGGACTCTGCAGAAGCTGGACGCGGCCCACTCCAGGTTCTGTGCAGAGAGCTCAGCTCAGATCTTGCGGCTCAGTAAGACTGAGGAGGACACCATGGAATTGCTGAGCTCTGTCCAGATGGCCCTTCAAAAAACAGAGGACGTCAACTTCATGAAGGTGACCTGAATTGGGTCACTTAAACCTCACTCACTGCAATGTAGGCCTTCACCTCCATGCATGTGGAGGGGAACAGTGCAGAGATCCCTTCTTAGAGGGCTTGCAGGTATCCCAGCTGTCCTTGAGACCTGTTCTCAGTTAGAGAAAATGTCTGATGTGCTTTTTTCCCCTAATTTCTTTAGGACACTGCATCATTCAGAGAGTGGCTGAATAGGTAAGTTAATTTGAACATCTTAATGTTGCTTTCATGATACAGTAAAATGTGCCATTGTAGGGCTACATGATATCACATTACAATTTAATAGCAGTTCTATGGTGCATGCACAACAATCACCAGGGCTTTAGATAATGGGTAAAACATTTG